ATAGAGTGAAAGTATTCGTTTCTTACGCAGTACAGCGTTTTCTGTAACAAGCAATAAATTTATTTTTTCGATAAAGTAAACGCTGCATACACATATTTATCGTAAATTGTTTGACTCTTATATTTTTCCGCGGTTTAACTTTTTGTGTGCGACTGTACCAGTATGACTATAACAGTTGAAACGGAACTAGAGAACTGAAACAGAAAAGAATTTGTCGTGTAAGCATTCATTATTGGATAATTAGAGTAAATAATTATTTAATGATAGCGACGTACCTTGTGAAAAAATTTAAAGCCAAACTTGAAAAGTCCGAGCCCATAAAATTTCAGCGGTGTTAAAGTTACTTGCAGTAGGAATTGCGAAATCTATATTATTAAAATGATTTCATCATTTACTTTACTTCAGTTTATTGCTCTAATAATAAAAAAGATCTTACATTTTCACGAATTACAACATCAAAATTGGGGTAAGGTATTTTACTTAAAATTTCTCCTGTTTCATGCGCCTAAAATGGAAATATTAGTAATATTAGCGTATAAAAACATTAAGGAAATTAATTTTTACATATTTTTTGGCCGTGAAAATCATGTGTATTTGCGGATAATCGATTAATAATATTGATATAAATGTATATATGGCTGTGTGGAATATGGGCGTAGAATTATTATCTTACGGCAGACCATCTCGCACATGTAATTAAAAATGAACAGTCTATAAGTATTAAAAGCGAGGTAAGATACAGTCAAGGGTATGAATAGGGTTTTTTTTTGGCTGTAATTAGTAATGAACAGTATGTTAAAAAGCTCGCTAAAACCTATTGCCATAAGCGTGAAATAAGCTCCCATCTTGATCGTCATTTGTAATCCAAAAATCCAGTTGAACTCCCGAGATATTTTACACAGTTGTAAATGGAGGTGTCTGGAAAAGAATATAACATTCACTCGCTTTGCAATCGCGATTTATTAAATTTACATGGATTTTTCATAATACATGACAATCCATGTAGCAGATTTGCAGTTCATTAATTTTAAATATCCGATTTGACATGGCAGCAACGCGGAATGTGCCCAAGCTTGCTTCAGTCCATGTCCATTATCTCCATCCAACTTCCGAAGATATTCGTTGAGTTGTTCGAACTTCAGTCCTATGTGTCTAAATGTAAGAGAGACTAGTTTATAGTGATAGTCATCGTTTAATGTACGCGAATGTATTGCATTGAAATTCCTAAAATATTTAGGAAAGAATATTGTTTTTAATTATATGTGCGCACTTTAATCGCTAAATAGATCTTTTATATAAATTTTTTTACATTTTACGTGTATACTAACCTAAGAGTACTAATAATAAGAAGATCATCGAGCACATTAACGTAAGAAGAATAGTCATGTACAATGGCAATGTAAAAAGCATGTGAAGTGCTAAAATGCTCTCTGTACCATAAGGTTTTGGCACAGGCTGTGCATGTTACGTACGCGAACCATCCAAGAATTTTCAATAACATTTGTGTATACAGTTTCTTGTAATTTGTCACCACTTCTAATTTTTTTAACGTGTCGTGCACGATATCAAGCTGCTTCAGACAGGTTCTATATTTCTGACACGGAAATTGCACACAGTTGGCAAATATAACCGTAATATTACTATAACTTGAAGATTTAATAAGCACTAATGTTAAATACTGCAGTTATTCATAGATATAATCGTAATCAATTATTCTTTAATGTGTGAATACATTCACATTATCCTACCTTATCATGATATATTCCAACAACAACTGATAATAGTGCTATCGAAGTGTTCAGCCAGAAGCAAAGTTTGAAGATGATGTGAATGTCACTCATGAAATGCATTATTATATACAAGACTAGAATATGGTAAATTGTCCACAACACTGATATGTATAAGAAACTGCTCCACAGTCTCGGTTTACCCGCGGGAAACTCAACGATTCTTATACCAAGCACATAACTAATAAAAAGAATGGGTGACAGTACCTCTCGAGTACTGTTCATCTTCACAGCCGTTGATGTTGTAGTTCTAAACTGCCGAAGATTGTACTGAACTAGAAACAGGTAGTAACTTCTTGAAATTGCAATTATTGCACTTAAGTATATTGAAATGATCGATCCCGTTAACTTTACATGTCACGATTCTTAAGCCAAACGTGTAATTTGTAAGAAGAAGAAGAGACAGTATTGCTCGGATACCGCTCATCTTGTTGACTGTTAGCTTCGTAATTTCAAATTGCTGATGGTTTTATCGATCAACGTAGTTAGCGAATTTTATGATTGCAATTTCTGCACTTAAGTATATTGAAATAATCGTTTCCGTCAGTTTTATATGACACGAGCTACTTAAGAAAAGTAGAATGTTCATTAATTATTTCCACGTGGAATAAGCACGTTCGGATCGCAAACCATGACACTGTGACATTCTACTCTTTGTTTTCGTATGAGTTGTATTAGAATAGGATGTTTGTTCAGAAAGTAATCGAATAACGAAAAGTGACAGTGTGATAGTATTAGTTCTTAGTTAATAGATTGATATAAACGTTTAAAACATTCAAAATTTGTTAACAAATTATTTCTTAAATATATTATATATAAAGTATCAGGATAAAGTTCTCATTTTTACATTTGGTTTTTTTTCAGTTATACTTTAATATATACATTAATAGAGTAAATGCACCAAAAGCGACATTCCACTTTATTTTTGGACGTTACGTCTTAATATAAAGTTAAAAATATAAATGTAAATATATATACATGTAGTTTGAAGTACCTCCTATCAGATAATATCACATTTTTACTGAAATTGTTTTTAGATTTAAAACAAAAAATGTTTTCGTAAAACGCATGAAAATGGAGTTCAAAGAAAATAGATGCCAAAAGCGACATACCTATTGGAATTTATATAACATGTGGCATATATGATAATATTTGGTAATAAATAATTCATTAATGCGTTGAATAATATTTATTTATTCAAAATATAATGTTATAAAAGGGAAATATAATTAAATAAATACATATCTTTTCCATCTTTTTTATCTTCTCACATATTTTTCATATGTTATATTTTTAAACTAAATAAAATTTAACCTTACAATAAACAAATGTCACGATGGGAGGTTATTAATCAAGTTATGTTAGTCACAGGGTATCGCATACTGTAGGTATGTCACTTTAAAACACATTCTCATAAAAATTTTCAAGTTATACAGTAAAAAAGTGATGAAAGTAAAAATATTAAAAGAATATTTGTACAAAAGCCAAATGCATGTACAAGAACTTAAAATTGAACAAAATGATAATTATCGCTATTTAGTCTATGTAATTCGACAATAAAGATCATAGAAGTAAAACTTGCGAATTTTTAAAATTCGATATTTGCTAATTTAGCATATAAAGGAACAAGAAATATACCAAGTATATTTTATGACAAGCATTTTTTATGACAACTGATATAACGAATTACGTTTATATTAATTTCGATAAAATTCAATATTTAATATATGCGATATAGAGGTATGTCGCTTTAGGAGACCTTTGTCGCTTTTGGATACTTTCCTCTATCATTAAAATCATAAAATCATGAAAATGACAAAAATAATTACAGATCTGAAGCAAGATTTTTTATTAGTTTTTAACCTTCTAGTCGTGCTCTGGGTCTTTTTTGACCGAGAGCAGTTTTAAAATTCATACAGTTTTTCTAATATTCTAAAATACAAATGTGATACTTCGCGACTTTTCGAGTTATTTTAGAAAGAGTCAGTACATATTGCACTAAATTATTTTATATAATGCTAAGATAAAGGATACCAAAAAATATATATATGTCAATTAAATAATGAGTTCTCACCATTGAGTCTATTTAGACCCTGAACACGGTTAAAGTATATCCGAAACGAACAAGGTTAGAAGGTTAAGATAAGTTAATTCACACTTTGATATACGAGAATTAGTTGATAGTGATCGGGAGATTGGCGAGAGGGAGAAATTACACCTTCCATTTAATCGAGTTAAAGTATTCGTTTTTTACACAACACAGCATTTTTTGAAACAAACAAATTTAATTTTTCAAAAAAGTAAACGTTACATACGCATATTTATCCTAAATTGTTTGAACTCTTACATTTCTCTGCTCACTTTTTATTTTTCCGTGTGCGACTGTACCAGTATAACTATAACAGTTGAAACGGAACCAGAGAACTAAAAAAGAAAATAATTTGTCTTATAAGCATTCATTCTTAGGCAATTAGAATGGATAATTATTTAATGATAGCAACGTACACCATAAAAAAATTTTAAACCAAACTTGAAGAGCCCAAGCCCATAAAATTTCAGTGGTGTTAAAGTTACTTGCAGTAGGAATTGCGAAATCTATATTAGTAAAATGATTTATTTCATCATTTATTCGACTTTAATTTATTGCAGTAATAACGAAACAACTTACGTTTTCACGAATCGCAACATTAAAATTGGGATAGGGTATCTTACATATAATTTCTCCTGGTGCATTCGCCTAAAATGAAAATATTACTAGTTTCGTATGAAAACGTCAATGAAATCAAGTGCCGCGGTCGCGGCGCGACGCCGAGTATATTTAATTTTCACATAGCTTTCTGGCCACGCAAATCCTGTACATTTACAGAAAATAGATGTGTCTGAAATATGAACGTAGAATTATTACCTTAATGCAGACTTTCTCGCATATGTAATTAATTATAAAGAGTCTGAAAATATTGAAAGCGAGGAAAGATATAATCAAAATAACGAATAGATTGTTCTGTTGGACGTGATTAGTAGTGAGCAGTATGTTGAAAAGCTCGCTAAAACCTATTGCAATAAAGATGAAATAAGCCCCCATCTTGATCGTCATTTGTAATCCAAAAATCGAGTTCAATTCCTTAGATATTTTACACAGTTGTAAATGCAGATGTCTGGAAAGAAAAAGCATAACATTCATTCGCTTTGCAGGACGGTCGCGATTTATTAAATTTACACCGGTTTTTCATGATACATTGCAATCCATGTAGCAGATTCGCTGCTCGTAAATTTTAGATATTCGATTTGACATGGCAGCAACGCGGAATGTTCCCAAGCTTGCTTTAGTCCGTGTCCATTATCTTCATTCAACTTGCGAAGATATTCGTTGAGTTGTTCGAACTTCAATCCTATGTATCTAAATATAAAAGACACTAGTTTATAATTACAGTCATCGTTTAGTGTATGAAAACGTGTTGCATTAAAATCTCTAAAATATTTAGAAAAGAATGGTGCTTTTAATTATATATATAAATATATGCATTAAAATCGCTAAAATTTTCAGAAAAGAATAGTGCTTTTAATTATATATATATAAATATATATATTTTAATCGTTAAGTATATATAGATTTTTTTTATAGGTTTTTTTATATTTTACATATATACTAACCCAAGAGTGCTAGTAATAAGAAGATCATCGAGTATATTAACGTAAGAAGAATAGTCATATACAAGAGCAACGTAAAAAGCATATGAAGCACTAAAATGCTCTCTGTACCATGAGGAACTGGCACAGGTTGTGCACAGAATGTACGCGAACCATCCAAAAATGGTCAACAACATTTTCTTGTACAATTTCTGGTAGTTTGTTGTCACCTCTATTTTTTCTAACGTGTCGTCCACGATATCAAGCTGCCTCAGACAGGTTCTGTATTTCTGATACAGAAATTGCCATTAGCAAATAAAATCGTAATGTTATTATAACTTGAATTTTTAATGAGCATTAATGTTAAATACCGTAGTTATATACATATATAATCAAAATCAATTATTCTTTAATGAGTGATTATATTTATATTCCTACCTTATCATGATATATTCCAAGAACAGCTGATAATAGTGCTATCCAAATGTTCAGCCAGAAGCAAAATTTGTAGATGATGTACATGCCACTCATGAGATGAATTATTGTATATAAGACTAGAATATGGTAAATTGCCCACAACAGCAATATGTACAAGAAACTGCACCACTGTCTCGGTTTACCCATGGGAAACTCAATGATTCTTATACCAAGCACGTAGCTAATAGAAAGAAGAGGCGACAGTACTACTCGAATACCGTTCATCTTCACGGCCGTTGGCGTTGTAGTGTTCTAAACCGACTGTTGTAGTGAACTATCGACGATTTTACCAAACTAAATGCGCAGCAACTCCTTGAAATTGCAATTATTGCAATTACTGTTCTTAAGTATATTGAAATGATCGATCCTGTTAATTTCATATGTCACTATTCAAAGAAATGTGCTCTTTCATTATCGTACTGACCGTCAGCGTTGTAGTTTAGAACTGCCGATAGTTTTATTAAATTACATGGTTAGCGAATCTATATGATTGCAATTTCTGCACTTACGTATATTGAAAAGATCGACCCCGTCAATTTTATATGTCACGAGCTAATAAAGGAAAACAGAATATTTATTAATTATTTTTATACAGAATAAGCACGTTTGAATCGCAAACCATAATGTTATTCTGCTCTTTGTTTTCACGTTGTATTAATTATATTTCTATGCAATATTTATTCAGAGAATAATCGAATAACGAAAAGTAACAGTATGACATTATGACAGTGTTAATTCTCAGTTACCAAGTTAAAATAAACGTTTAAAACATTCAAAATTTGTTAATTAATTATTTTCCTACTATATTATAGAATCAGGATAAAGTTTTCATTGTCATCATCCATTTTTTTAAATTATACTTTAATGTATACACTGAAAACATAAAAATGACATTATTGATTACAAATCTGAAACAAGAGTTCCTATTAGTTTTTAACATAGGTTAATTTACATTTGGATATATGAGAATTACTTGATAGTGATCGGATGGTTAAGGGGAGGAAAAATTATATCTTCGATTTAATAGAGTGAAAGTATTCGTTTCTTACGCAGTACAGCGTTTTCTATAATAAGCAATAAATTTATTTTTTCGATAAAGTAAATGCTACATACACATATTTATCGTAAATTGTTTGAACTCTTACATTTCTGTACGCAGTTTTATCTTTTTGTTTGCGACTGTACCAGTATGACTATAACAGTTGAAACGGAATTAGAGAACTGAAAAAGAGAAGAATTTGTCTTGTAAGCATTCATTATTGAATAATTAGGGTGAATAATTATTTGATGAAAGCGACGTACCCCGTGAAAAAATTTTAAGCCAAACTTGAAGAACCCAAGCCCACAAAATTTAAGCGGTGTTAAAGTTCCTTGCAATAGAAATTGCGAAATCTATATTAGTAAAATCTATATATTAGTAAAATAATGTACATCATTATTTATTTCACGTCAATTTATTGCATTAATAACGAAAAATCTTACGTTTTCACGAATCGCAACATTAAAATTGGGATAGGGTATTTTACTTATAATTTCTCCTGTTACATGCGCCTAAAATGGTAATATTAGTAGTAGCGTATGAAAACATTAATTAAATTAATTTTTACATATTTTTGTGGCCGTGCAATAGGCACATATATGTACAGATAATCGATTAATAATATTCATATAAATGTATATGTGTCTAGAATATGAACGTAGAATTATTACCTTACGGCAGACCATCTCGCAGATGTAATTAATAATGAATAGTCTGAAAGTATTAAAAGCGAGGTAAGACATAGTCAAGATTATGAATAGGGTTTTCTTTAGTTTGTAATTAGTAATGAGCAGTATGTTGAAAAGTTCGCTAAATCCTATTGCCATAAGCGTGAAATAAGCTCCCATCTTGATCGTCATTTGTAATCCAAAAATCGAGTTTAACTCCCGAGAGATTTTACACAGTTGTAAATGCAGGTGTCTGAAAAAAAATATAACATTTTATATTCATTCGCTTTGCAGTCGCGATTTATTAAATTTACACGGATTTTTCGCTATACATTGCAATCCATGTAGCCGATTCGCTGTTCATAAATTTTAGATATCCGATTTGATGTGGCAGCAACGCGGAATGTTCCCAAGCTTGCTTCAATCCATGTCCATTATCTCCATCCAACTTCCGAAGATATTCGTTGAGTTGTTCGAACTTCAATCCTATATATCTAAATGTAAAAGAAACTAGTTTATAATGACTGTCATTGTTTAGTATACGGGAATATATTGCATTGAAATTCCTAAAATATTTAGAAAAGAATATTGTTTTTAATTATATATACGCATTTTAATCGCTAAATAGATCTTTTATATGAGTTTTTTTACATTTTACGTGTATACTAACCTAAGAGTACTAGTAATAAGAAGATCATCGAGCAAATTAACGTAAGAAGAATAATCATATACAATGGCAACGTAAAAAGCATATGAAGCACTAAATTGCTTTCTGTACCATAAGGTACTGGCACAGGTTGTGCATATAACGTACGCGAACCATCCAAAAATTTTCAATAACGTTTGTGTATACAGTTTCTTGTAATCTGTCACCACTCCTAATTTTTCTAACGTGTCGTCCACGATATCAAGTTGCCTCAGACAGGTGCTATATTTCTGACATAGAATTGCAGTTGACAAATGAAATAGTAATATTACTATATCTTGAATATTTAATAAGCGCTAATATTAAATACTGCAATTATTCACAGATATAATCGTAATCAATTATTCTTTAATGTGCAAATACATTTACATTATCCTACCTTATCATGATATATTCCAACAACAACTGATAATATTGCTATTGAAGTATTCAGCCAGAAACAAAATTTGAAGTTGATGAGAATGTCACTCATGAAATGCATTATTGTATACCAGACTAGAATATGGTAAATTGTCCACAACAGCGATATATATAAGAAACTGCTCCACAGTCTCGGTTTACCCGCGGGAAACTCAATGATTCTTATACCAAGCACATGACTAATAAAAAGAATGGGTGACAGTACCTCTCGAGTACTGTTCATCTTTACAGCCGTTGATGTTGTAGTTCTAAACTGCCGAAGATTGCACTGATCTGGAAACAGGCAGTAACTTCTTGAAATTGCAATTATTGCACTTAAGTATATTGAAATGATCGATCCCGTCGATTTCACATGTCACGATTCTTACGCTAAACATGTAATTTGTAAGAAGAAGAAGCGACAGTATTGCTCGGATACCGTGCATTGTGTTGACCGTTAGCTTTGTAATTTCGAACTGCCGATGGTTTTATCGAGTTACGTGGTTAGCGTATTTTGTGATTGCAATTTCTGCACTTAAGTATATTGAAATAATCGATTCCGTCAATTTCACATGTCATAAGCTTTTCAAAGAAAATAGTGTACTTTTCCATTAGTTATTTTCACGCAGAACAAATGGATTCACATTACAAACAATGGTAAATTATATTTATGTACTTTTTGTTTTTATTTTTTATTAATTGTGTTTTACGATATATGTGCTAAAAAGGAAGAGAGAAAGAGAGAAGGAAAGAGGGAGAGGAGGAGAGAGAGAGAGAGAGAGAAAAAAAGTAATCGAACAACGAATCAAGTACGTGATTTTATCAATTTTCCGTTAATAGATTAATATCAATTTTTAAGAAGTACAAAATTTGTTGACAGATTACGTCTCAAATATATCAGAATCAGGATAAAGTTTATTATTTTCCTTTATTCTTATATAAATTGCGTTTTATATACATTAAAAACATAATTGATTATGTGCATTACAAGTCCAAAGCAAGATTTCTCATTTTTACCATAAATTAATTTGTATTTGGTCGCAAACACCAAAATTACATAATCAGATTGTGATCAGAAGATTAAAGGCAGTTTAAATATTCAATTTAATAGATTTGTAGTCTGTCTTGAGTATATCTGTGTTTTACAAAGTACAGCGTTTTCTGTAAAAAATAATAGATAGTAGTTTTCACAGTAGTAATACACGTATATGTCGTAAATTGTTTGAACTCTTACATTTCATTGTGAATTTCGCTTCTGTATGCGATTGCACTAGTATGACTATTACGGTCGTTACTGAGCTGGAGAACTAGAAAAAGAAATTTGTTCCTTCAATATAAATTTATTGTTTAGAATGGATAATTATATAACATTTGCGACATACTCCTTGAAAAAACTTTAAACCAAACTGGAAGAGCCCAAGTCCGTAAAATTTAATCGAAATCAAATTCATTTGCAGTACAAGCTGTGAAATCTGTGTTAGTACAATAGTTTATTTAATCAATTATTTCAAAATTGATTTTAGCAACGGCAAAACATCTCTCTTACGTTTTCACGAACCACAACATCGTAAGTGGTATAAAGTATTCTTATAATATCTCCCATTATATTCGCCTAAAGTTGGAACGTTCATAATAATATGAAAAGAAATTTTAGTAAAGTAAATCTTAACATGATTTCATAGTCATGTAATTGTCGGAAGAGATTTCAAAGTAGATACATCTAAAACATAAATGTTGAATCTATACCTTGACGCTAACTTCCTCACACATATAATTAATAATGAAAAGTCTGAACGTGTTCGCAAAGAGGAAATTGATGATTATTATGACGAATAGGAAGGTTTTTTCGACGTAATTAATGATGAGTATCACATTGAAGAGTTCGCGAAAACCTAACGCCATGAAAGCGAAATAAGTTCCCATCTTGATAGTCATTTGTAGTCCAAATATCGAGTTTAACTCGCGAGATATTTTGCGCAAGTCCAAGTGAAGATGTCTGCAAAAACATAACATTCAGTTACTTTGAAGTATCACCGCGTCTTATTATAATTTTATTATTACGCATTTTTCATAATACATCATAATCCATGTGGCACACGCGTTGCCCGTAGAATTCGCATTTCCAACCCGACGTGGAATCGACGTCGAGTGTTCCCAAGCCGGCTTTAATTCATACTCGTTTCCGCATTTCATTTTTCGCAGGTATTCGTTCACTTGGTCAAATTTCAATCTTATATATCTGAAATTAGAGACTATTGAATAATTACGTTTACCATGTAATAAATGTCGTATTGCAATTCTTGAGTTATATAAAAGAGCTTCATTCTCTTTTTATTTATAACAACATAGTTTACTTAATAAAATAATTTTTCCTATAAGAATATACTAACCCAAGAGTACCCGTGATAACGAGATCATCTAAGAGATTAGTACAAGTACCATATTCAAGCATAAAAGCAACAAATAAATTTTTTACATTATGACTGCTGCCTTTGAGCCATAAGGCTCTAGTGTAGGTTATACATAAGACGAACGCGCACCATACGAAGACGATCAATAGTGCTTTCGTGTATAATTTTTGATAATCTGTCGTTGTTCCGAGTTTCTCCAGCGTGTCGTCCACGATAGCGAGCTTTCTCAGGCAGCTTCTAAATTTCTGACACAAGAATACAATGTGGGATGGAAATAATTGTGGCTCATATGCAAATGCACATTGTAAAAAGCTATCCTAAGTCTCAAAAGAAAAGAATTCAGCGAGCACTTACGTTAAATATCGCAGCTATTCAAATATCATAGATCAGATATAAGTGTATTACTTATTAATGTGCTGCACTAACAGCTTTCCCTACCTTATCATGATATATTCCGAGAGCAATTGTCAATATCGCTGTAAAAAGATTCAGCCAAAAGCAAAATTGATACACGATAGAGTTAATGCGTACGTAGCACATCAACGTGTACACCAACGATAAACTGTACGTTAACCAAATTAGCAGTATGTATAAGTAGCTGCACCACGTTCTTGGTTTATTCACGGGATACTCGATAATCCTTGTGCCGAACACATAACAGACAAAAAGGAGTGGCGATAGTATCGCTCGAATGTCGTCCACCATCCTAATAGTCAGCGTTGTTGTTTCGAACTGCCGACAGTTTCACTAAACGGTGTGGATGGCGGTTCTTTGTGATTGCAATTGCTGCACTTACGCTTATGAAAACACTCGGGTTGCTGAATTCTGTATACTTCGGATGCCATCGAGACAAATCGATATATATTCGTTTGTTTACACAGCAAATACGATCTCGAAGCAAATATCGATTTCATTGTTAACATCTTATTGTTGGTCTTGTATTTTTCATTCGGGCAATAATATAGCAACACATTACACGCGTTAAATAAGTCTGTCGAGTTTATGTGTTTGCTTGAATGACTATTACTAATACCTTCAAAGTCCATTCCATAAACTGAAAGAAATCGTTTTATACTATATCTTTTCAGTCGTTTACATTCGTATTGGATTATCGTTCTCTCTTTTTTACTTTTAGTACATTAATTTGTGTGAAGTTAAATGAGATTATAGGTTTAAACTCTCGAGAACTAGCAATTACATGTAATTTATCTGAGAGCTACAGACCGTGTAGATAAATTTATAACCGAAGTTGAATAACCCAAATGCGGAAACTGTTAATGGCTTTTTCAATAGTTGCAGTAGGAATTGTGTGATCTGCAAATAGTCGCGCAATTAAAATCGTGTTATATTAGTCGCGTATAAACACTTACAAACATTCCCTTACTTACATTCTCCCGCATCTCCACGTCAAAAGAAATATTCGCCAATCTGTTAAGTAGCGTTTCGGTTCTGTTTGCCTGGCATTAGATTATTAAAATTGAATTTTCCTTTTTTCATTTGACGTCAAACGAAATTTTTAACAATAATTTTTATGAAGAAAATAGCTTTTACCTTGAAGCAAATTTTCTCGCACATGTAATTGAACAGAAACATTCTTATAATGCTGTGTATGATCCACACGAAGACGTTGAAAATATCCATTACCATTTGATACGTGAAGTGTGTATTAGTATTTAGTGAAGTGTTTATTATTATGACTGAATTGTAAAATTGTGCGATGAGCTGCACCGTGAAAATGTAAAACGCTATCGTCTGCATCAACATTTGCAATTCAAAGATCCTGCTGAATTCTTGCGATATCATGGACAATTCGAAATGTACATGCCTAAATAAAGAATGCACTCGATTAATGGCGCCCATAAGTCAACGCTCGTGAAATCAGCCGATACGTTTATTTCGACTTCCATAATTGTACTGTATTACGTCGCGGCAATCCGCAAACTTCCTCAATTATCCTTACATTAAGATGCATATCGCTTGGTTAGGTTTCACACTGTTAGTTCTGTGTCGAGAAGACGAAGCGGAAGTCGCTGGAACAAATCTTACTCGTTTCTTCTGTTCCGTTAATTCTTGAATATATCGATTGACGTGTTCAAATAAAGATCCTATATATCTGCATAAAATTCGACATAAAATCATTTAATATATATATATATATATATATATATATATATATATATATATATAAATATATTAAATATTATATTAATATATTAAATCATTGAGTATGATAATTATTTTATAGATAATATTGACGATGTTGTAATATACATAATATATCCAAACTACCGAGTTTGCGGCTGTAAAAGAAAAGGTATTTTTATTGCATCGCAAAACTTAATGATCTACAAACCCCAGCAGTGCCAGATACGTCACATCATGAAATGTGTCAATATGAAGGGAGTGATTGACAATGAATGGCAGACATATAGTTATCGCGGCGTAAGATGTGGGAATACGTGTAAGAAGCCACAGGAAATCCATAATATTCATGATTAAGATCGAAATTATCCACCCAACGATTATCCATATAATTTGCACACGCAACTCTGGATAATTCTTCGGCGTTCCAAGCTTCTCCAATGTATCATTCACAATATTCAGTTTCTGAAGGCAACTTTTGAATCTCTGAAAAAAGTGCATTGAGAGCGAGTGAAATTTTTTATTCTTGAAGTTAGATATCTTAGATAAACACTTATGATTAGGTATTGTCAAGGTATCAAATTTACCGTTTTGCTATTTTGAGTTACTTTGAAAATGTTTGTACTTTACATTGTGAATCTGTGCTGATATAACATACCTTATTGTGATATATTGATCCATAAATTCGTGCGATTTTTTATCTAGTATGTTAGCATCTACCTGTTGGTATTAGGAGGACTTTTCCATACAGTTGGTCATCTTTGTATACGCTTTGATAGCTGACATTTCAGAGCATATTTTGTGGCGTAAGTGACAGTGTTTAAAGAAATATAGTTGTTTTTGTTGCGACTTAGAAAGCAGTGATAAATTTTCCAGTGCACTATATTTTTTTACTCTCGTAAAAATTGCTAGAGATCGGCTAGGATGTTTTGTCTTATCCACCACATTTATCCGATTTTGCTCTTTGATTATCATCTGCTTATTATAGAACTCCCGGTATAAACTTTGTTTCTTTAGAAAATATAAAAAATCACTTGAAATATTTCTTCTTCGAAAGAGCATAAGAACTTTACGAGAGAGGAATTATCAAATTACATGAAAGATGACAAAATATTGCCGAATAAAGAATGGCAATACATTATTGATAAAAGTAGTCCTAATAAAAATATAATGTATTTCAATTTTGTTGAAAAGTTCGCACAAACTTATAGATCAACTCAGTATTAAAATAAGAATGCATACCTTATTGTGGTATATACTAAGCAGTATGTAAATCGTTGCGAAAGCTACGGTAACTCGAAGCAACATGGGCATGGAAACCTTGAATTCGTTGACGAACATTTCCGTCTGCGTGATGATGTAAATATGTAGTAGCCACGACACCAGAATGTAGAAAATGGTGAGATACAATCGCGACTGACCCGGGGGATACTCGAATATCCCGAGTCCGCACAGGCACAGCATGAGTAAGAGCGGAAATATAGCCGCTTGAATATTTTTCATGATTACTTCTCGTCGTCGTTAAACTAGGAACTTACTACGAGTTATGATATTAAGCTTTCGCGGCAGCTGCGTGATGACGAAGCTTACGTCGATGTTGACGCAGTCGCGGAGATCCCCATAATTTCAGCAATGAATTGTGCTGACTCTTACGCGAATTAAAAGAATCGATCCACGGGGACGAGGATTATCTCAACTTAAATGTCGCTTGAAATGACGTCTAAATTATCGACGTCAGAAAAATGAAAGAGGGAACAATTTTTTCTAATTTTCTCCACTCGTAGTTAATGAGAGATCATTGTTACTTGTTACTCCTACTTTATCGCCATGCAGATATAATAGATTGTATATAGAATGTAGATATAATAATCGACAATAACGCTGTAAAAACAACACGGCGTTTATGTTTGTGACACAAATATCGATTTCGTTCTTGACATCCCGCTTTTTATTTTTGTACTCGGCAACTGTACAAAAACTGTACGGCATTGTGTATTACTCGTGTTTAATAAAATTACTAAATTGAAGAGTATTAAACATTCATTTGACGGTTGCGTCCTTAACGTGACTGTATCACTATTATTATCATCTTCATAGACCTTTCGATAAACTGGAAGAAATTGTTCGTGATATAGTTCGTTCTCCATATTTCTGTCTAAATTTTTTTTGGTTTCATGAAATTTTATATACTCAAACCTGCATTGTGTACGCTCGAAAATAAGTACAGACCTTGCGGAGTAGTTTAAAGCCATAATCGTAAAGTCCAAGACCTGAAATTCTTAGCGGTCTCCTGAAAATTCCCAGCAAAAACTGCATGATCTGCACATAAATAGTTACATAATCAAGAATATGATTTTGGATGAATGAACATTTACGTCCAAAATTATCGCTTACGTTCTCCTGCGTCTCGACGTCGAAGGTAACACTTGCCAATCTGTTGAGAAACGTTTCGGCTCGATTTGCCTAATATTAACAGAATCCAGTTGATAACAATGCGACTTTTTTACTTAAAATTTAATCTCACTCACGGTAACTCTTTTAAAGAATTTTGAAATTTTACCTTTGTGCAAACTCCCTCACAAATATAACTGAGAACATTTAAATCAAACATACATCTTGCAGTCCAAAACAAGATGACGAAACACTTAATTAAGACATCATACGTAAAATTCGTTTTTGGCGACAAGATGATGGTATACAATTTCAGAACAAAGTGCATTGCACCAAAGTGAAACAAGGCTATCTTTATCACCATTTGCGGTCCAAAGATTGTGCTCAATTCACGCGATATCGAGCACAGTTCGAAGTGAATATGTCTGCAAAATGCGAATGATAAATAATGACTTCGTATTATTGCATGCTCATTACATTAGGTACATGCTGATTCTCTTATTTTTAAGTTTTTATTTCATTATATCATGGTGCGTATAACCCAAGAACGTGCATAGTACGTCATACTTTACAATTATTAATTATCCTTACATTAAAAGTCATATTAGTTGGTTAGATTTCGAGGTCTCGTTCAGGTGTCGATGCATGAAAGAAGACGAAACGCAAGTCGTCCAGGGCCTCACTTGTCGTTCCTTTTGCTCTGTTAACGTCTGAATACACTGATTAACGCGGTCGAATAGAGTTCCTATATATCTGCATTAGATGCGACACAAAATGATCAAATCGCTATTAAGGAATATTCTTAAAGGATAACACGTGTAACGTGTAACATCGCATTGAGAGAGAACACTCAGTTTTCATTATATTTCGAAAGTATAATAAACTATTATTTTTGTCACATTACACAATACGTTATCTACTGACCTCAGCAGAGTTAAAAACTATTTCATACAGCGTAATAATGTGAATCGAATAATTTGATATGTACGGCACATATATATATGCTGCTGCGCAATATTTGGGAAGATCTATGAACAGCCACAGACTATCGACAGAATTCATTACACAGATCGAAATTATCCATCTAATAGTTGACCAAAGTGTTCGTGTACGCAACTGGGCGTGATTCTTCAGCGTTCCGAGTTCCACCAATGTATCGTTCACAATATCCAATCTTTTCAGACAACTTTTGAATCTCTGAAATGAACGTGTTGTTGACACAAGGATAGATTTTCTTTTGAGAACTTTATGTCACAGAATGGACATGTTGATAACCGTTGTTATCAAAACGTTACAAAAAAGTTGCAAATAAGAAAATTCACATATTCTTTTTCTATCCACGAAATCATGTCATATCATGTACCTTGTGATAATATATGTTAAGCATTATAAATATCAATGCGACAACTATAGTAAGATAAATAATCGAAGGGAATAATTCGATATTATATTTTTCCATGGATATTTTAGTTTGGACGACTAAGTAAATATACAGCAACCATGATGAGAGAATGTAGAGAATGGTGAGGTACAATCTCGGTTGACCATGGGGATATTCGAACACATAGAGTCCGCACATGCACAACGCAAATTTTAGCGGAAATATAGCCGTTTCTACATTCTTCATGACGATTTCTTCGTTTCACGATTAAAGCGGAGACTTACTGGCCGCGTTGATGTATTAATTGCGACCGTCGTAACACTGCGGGATGATGGAGCTTACGTCGACGTTGAGGCCGGCAGGGAAAGTAATGACTCATAAAAATTTCAGCTAGAAATTGCATCAACAATTATGTAGATTAAAACCATCGATTCGCTGAAGTGGAGGATTTCTTTCGTATATACGGAATCAAACAGCAGCGAATTATAAAGTCCTTTATTATCTCGCACTAACCATTATACTGTGGGTTGCACGTGTTCAAGAAACTTCATCGAGTTTTCAACGTTTTGTTAATTTTTATTTTTGTAGTTAGGCAAAACGGTATCGCGATGTTTTACACTGAGGGAAATGTCTGATGACACTAACCAGAATTCTATTTAAGTTTACCAAACGGTATGGTGAATAATTGTGTAACAAAATATTTAATCAATGATACCAAACTTGTGAGGGCATTGAGTAGCATTATAGTGATGCTTAGTGATGTTTTCCAAGTCATCTGGTACAGTATATAATTTATTTAGTGAATATTATATATATAAAGTTATATATATAATTTTCATATACTTACTGCATATAATCTTCATATACTTACTTCTAAATTTGTCGACATATTTTAAGAAATTCCATTCTGCCAAATATCTGGCGGTTTCGACGTTCATTCTTTTATAGCACCGACGTCTTTACAAATTGTAGTATAGATGAAAAAGGAATCGTCGCAGCGAATAACAATTAACTATCGCGTCAATAGTACCACATGTTTGGAGAGAATTACTAAACTGTCTAGATGTTTACAACTAAATATTTCGGTATCGGCTATCAGGTACGTTGAGTCATCGTAATCAGAATATTGGATATGTGAACCAGATATCGCATTGCATATAAATTCACCATAATACTTTCATAAGACGGGTATAGAGTCATTCACCAAGGCATTTCTCTCAGTGCAGAAACATATAATACGAGACGGTTAAAAAATTATAGCGGTCTCGCAGACCGGTGTTTACCATTTACATTACTTTTTTCGCAGTAAATTGCTATATTATAAAAATTTTCTACTCTTAAAATATAATAGTATATCAGTATTATAGCTACTATTAAAAATAAAATAAATAAATAAATATGTAATAAAAATTTATAGATAAATATAATTTTTATAGACATATTTGCCAGTAGATGAGCCACAGGTATATAATGTGTCAACCGACGTTCTCGAAAAAAGGAAAACGCGCACATTATGTCATTACAAATTAAAACAAAAACGGCGTACAAATGTGCAAAGTGCGAGACACCGGTTTGTGCTCGCGGAAGGTGTGCGTGCACTGCTTAATTGGTACGCCAATAAAAAGATTTGAAAGTTCAGACAGTTCTTTAAAAAACAGTTATATAGTATTTTTTGTTTTTATTCGTTTAATTTTGTTTACTAATCATTATTAAAAAAGAATATTCTGTTTAGTTTTAAATTTAAGTTTACAGTTTATTAAAAACGCTTTTGTCACAATTTAAATATATTTTGTTATTTATACATGAGATTTTTTATCTCCCTCACATTAAAACATTTCTTTTTATTTACAAGTATTTAGAATAATTGAAAACATACATCTTTCATTATAAAGAACTTCAAAAATTAGTGGAAACGTAATAACAGTATGTGAGACCGATTATTACCATTTATGTGATTTTTTTGAATAGTTTAAAAGTTAAAACCATCGACCCGTAAGATATTTTTATATATGCAGAACCAGATAGCGAACTATAAAGTCCTCTGTTATTTCATTCAAATAATTACACAACGTGTGTTGCGCGTGCTCAAGAAACTTATCAAGTCTAACGTTATCATAATTCTTTATTTCTTGTAGTCGGACAACGGCACAGCAAAGTTTTACACGTCTTTAACACAATTACTAAATTGCACGGTATAATATGGCGGTCCTTAACGTGCCTGTATCACTAATATTATCATCTTCACAGACCTTTCGATAAACTGGAAGAAATTGTTCGTGATATAGTTGGTTCTCCATATTCCTGTCTGAATCTTTTTTGGTCTCATGAAATTTTATATATCCAAACCCGCATTGTGTACGCTCGAAAATAAGTACAGACCTTGTGGACTAGTTTAAAGCCATAATCATAAAGTCCAAGACCTGAAATTCTTAGCGGTCTCCTGAAAATTTCCAGCAAGAACTGCATGACCTGCACATAAATAGTTACATAATCAGGAATATGATTTTGGATGAGTGAATATTTACGTCAAAAATCATTGCTTACGTTTTCCCGCGTTTCGACGTCGAATGTAACATTTGCCAATCTGTCGAGAAACGTCTCGACTCGGTTTGCCTAGTATAAACAGAGTCCAGTTGATAACAATGCGTCTTCTTTAATTAAAATTATACCTCATTCACAATAATTCTTCTAAAGAATTATTTTCAAATTTTACCTTTGTGCAAGCCTTCTCGCAGACGTAACCGAAAATAATTATATCTAGGATACATCTTGCGGTCCAAGACAAAATGACAAAAAATTCAACTAAAACATTATATGTAAAGTTAGTTGTTATCGACAAAATGATAGGATACAATTCAAGAAAAAAGTGCATTGCACTTAAATGAAATACGGCTATTTGCATCACCATCTGCAGTCCAAAGATTGTGCTCAATTCACGCGATATCGAGCACAGTTCGAAGTGTACATGCCTGCAAAGTATGAATAATAAATAATGATTTCGCATTACTGCGTGCCCAGTTAAGTACATGCTGAACCTCTTATTCTTAGATTTTCATTTTATTATATCATGGTGCGTGTAAACCAAGAACGTCCATCGTGTGCGATACTTTTCAATTATCCTCACATTAAGAGGCATATGAGCTGGTTAGATTGTGAGGTGTCGTTCAGGTGTCGATGTAGGAAAGAAGACGAAGTGGAAGTCGTCCAGGGCCTCATTTTTCGTTTTTTCTGCTCTGTTAACGTCTGAATACACTGATTGACGCGCTCGAATAGAGTTCCTATATATCTGGATGCAACACAAAATGGTCAATTCGCTATTAATGAATACTCTTAAAGGATAACACGCATAATGTCGCATCGAGAAAGAACACTCAATTTTCATTATATTTCGAAGGTATAATAAATTATTATTTTCAAAAACATCACACAATATGTTATCTACTGACCTAAGCAAAGTAAGAAACGTTATTTCATACAGAGTAGTAATATGAATCGAGTAATTTGTTATGTACGGCAGATATATACATGCTGCGTAATGTTTGGGAATATGTATGAACATCCATAGACTATCGACAAGATTCATTCCACAGATTGAGATTATCCATCCAATAACTAACCAAAGCGTTCTTGCACGCAACTGGGCGTGATTCTTCAGTGTTCCGAGTTCCACCAATGTATCGTTCACAATATCCAGTTTCTTCAAACAACTCTTGAATCTCTGAAATGAGCGTGTTGCTGACACAAAGAGAAATTTTTTTGAGAACTTTTTATCACAAAATGCACATGTTGATATATGTTGTTATCAAAATGTTTCAAAGGAATCACGCGTAAGAAAATTCACATATCTTTTCTCTATCTATGAAATTATATTATATCATGTATATCGTACCTTGTGATAATACACGTTAAGTATCATAAAGATCGGTGCAAAAACTATAGTAAGATAAATAACTGGAGGGAAGTCGATATTATATTTTTTCATGAATATTTCGGTTTGTACGACTAAGTAAATATACAGCAACCATGATGTCAGGGTGTAGAGAATGGTAAGGTACAATCTCGGTCGACCATGGGGATATTCGAACACACAGAATCCGCACATGCACAACGCGAATATAAGCGGAAATATAGCCTTTTCTACATTCTTCATGACGATTTCTTTATTTCACAATTAAACCTGAGACTTAAGTCGCGTTGATGTATTAATTGCGACCATCGTAACACTGCGGGATGACGGAGCTTACGTCGACGTTGAGGCCGGCTTGGAAAGTAATAAGACTCATAAAAATTTCAGGAACAAATTGCATTAACACTTATGTAGATTAAAACCATCGATCTGCTGAAGTGGAGGATTTTTTCTGTACACACGGAATCAAACAAAGTAAAGTCCTTTATTATCTCACACAATTATACAGTGAGTATTGCGCGTATTCAAGAAACTCATCAAGTTTCCTACGTCATCTTGCATTATAGTTGGGCAACGGTATATCAATGTTTTACATATGTTAAATACATTTATTAAATTGGAATAATACATCAATTTGATGGTCGTCTAATTTTAACGTGCCTGCAACACTGTTATTATAATCTTTTCAGCCCACACGATAAACTGAAAGAAATTCTTCGGTATATTTAATTTCGTTCGCGATTCAATAGTCTCGCGAAATAATGAATTCTCCACAGAGTGTCTGACTCGTACCGTACTAGTGCTAATATATAGATAGATAAGTCAGGATGAATAATAGAATCGGTATTAAGTCTTGCTCAGGTGTTCAAGAAACCTTTCAAGTCTAATGTTATAGCGACTCTTTTTCCTTCTAGTCTGGCAACGACACAGCAAAGTTTTACATGTGTTTTACACAATTACTAAATTGCATGGTATAATATATCCATTTGGCTGTCCTTAACGTGCCTGTATCACTATTATTATCATCTTCACAGACCTTTCGATAAACTAGAAAAAATTGCTCGTGATATAATTGGTTCTTCATATTCCTAACCGAATCTTTTATAGTCTTATAAAATTTTATATGCTCAAGCCCGCGTTGTGTATGCTTGAAAATAAATACAGACCTTGTAGATTAGTTTAAAGCCGCAATCGTAAAGTCCAAGCCCTGAAATTCTTAGCGGTCTCTTGAAGATTCCCATCAAAAACTGCATGATCTGCAAATAAATAGTTACGTAATCAGGAATATGATTTTTAATGAGTGAACATTTACGTCCAAGATCATCGCTTACGTTCTCTTGTGTCTCGACGTCGAAAGTAACACTTGTCAATCTGTTGAGAAACATCTCGGCTCGATTTGCCTAATAAAAACAGAATCCAGTTGATAACAATGCGACTTCTTTACTTAAAATTTAATCTCTGTCGCGGTAACTCTTTTAAAGAATTTTGAAATTTTACCTTTGCGCACACTTCTTCACAGATGTAACAGAAAGCAAATATACCTAGGATGCATCTTGCAGTCCAACATAAGACGACAAAGAACTTAATTAAGACATCATACATAAAATTCGTTTTTGCCGACAAGATGAAGGCATACAATTCAAGAACAAAGTGCATTGCACCAAAGTGAAACACGGCTATCTGCATCACCATTTGCGGTCCAAAGATTGTGCCCAATTCACGCGATATCGAGCACAGTTCGAAGTGTATATGCCTGCAAAGTGTGAATGATAAATAATGATTTCGCATTATTGCATGCTCAGTTAGGTACATGCTGATTCTCTTATTTTTAGGTTTTTATTTTTATTTCATTATATTACGGTGCGGTTTTTATTTCATTATATTACGGTGCATTGTAACCCAAGAACGTGTATCGTATACGCCATATACAATTATCCTTACATTAAAAGGCATATTAGTTGGTTAGATTTCGAAATCTCGTTCAGGTGTCGATGCATGAAAGAAGACGAATCGTAAGTCGTCCAGGGTCTCACTTGTCGTTGCTTCTGCTCTGTTAACGTCTGAATACACTGATTAACGCGGTCGAATAGAGTTCCTATATATCTGCATTGGATGCGACACAAAATGATCAAGTCGCTATTAAGGGATATTCTTAAAGGATAACACGTGTAACGTGTAACGTCGCATTGAGAGAGAACACGCAGTTTTCATTATATTTCGAGTGTATAATAAATTATTATTTTCGCCACATTACAGAATATGTTATCTACTGACCTAAACAGAATTAAAAACGCTATTTCATACAGCGTAATAATGTGAATCGAATAATTTGATATGTACGGCAGATATATAAATGCTGCTGCGTAATATGTGGGAAGATCTATGATCAGCCGCAGACTATCGAGAGAATTCAGTACACAGATCGAGATTATCCATCTAATAGTAAGCCAAAGTGTTCGTGCACGCAACTGGCCGTAATTCTTCAGCGTTCCGAGTTCCAGCAATGTATTGTTCACAATATCCAATCTCTCCAGACAACTTTTGAATCTCTGAAATAAGCATGACACGTTGAGGATAAATTTTCTTTTGAGGACTTTATGTCACAAAATGGACATGTTGATAGCCGTTGTTATCAAAACGTTACTAAAATGCCACAGATATGAAAATTCACATATTCCTTTTCTATCCACGAAATCACGTCATATTATGTATATCGTACCTTGTGATAGTATACATTTAGCATCATAAAAATCGATGAGACAACTATAATAAGGTAAATAATCGGAGGAAATAATTCGATATTATATTTTTCCATGGATGTTGTAGTTTGGACGACTAAGTAAATATACAGCAACCATGATGAGAGAATGTAGAGAATGGTGAGGTACAATCTCGGTTGACCATGGGGATATTCGAACACATAGAGTCCGCACATGCACAACGCAAATTTTAGCGGAAATATAGCCGTTTCTATATTCTTCATGACGATTTCTTCGTTTCACGATTAAAGCGGAGACTTACTGGCCGCGTTGATGTATTAATTGCGACCGTCGTAACACTATGGGATGATGGAGCTTACGTCGACGTTGAAGCCGGCAGGGACAGTAATAAGACTCATAAAAATTTCAGCTAGAAATTGCATCAACAATTATGTAGATTAAAACCATCGATCCATTGAAGTGGAGAATTTCTTTTGTACACACGTAATCAAACAGCGAACTGTAAAGTCCTTTATTATCTCACACGAACGATTATACAGTGTGTGTTGCGCGTGTTCAAGAAACTCATCGAGTTTTCAATGTCATCTTGACTCTGCATTGTAGTTGGGCAACGGTATATTAATGTTTTACATACATTTAATACATTTATTAAATTGGAATAATACATCCATTTAATGGTCTAATTTTAACGTGCCTGCAACACTGTTATTATAATCTTCTCAGCCCATACGATAAACTGCAAGAAATTCTTCGATATATTTAATTTCGTTCTTGATTTAATAGTTTCGCGAAATAATGAATTTTCTACAGGGTGCCTGACTCGTACCATGCTAATATATAGCTAGATAGGTCAAGATGAATAGTAAAATCGGTATGAAATCTTGCTCAGGTGTTCAAGAAGCTTTTCAAGTCTAATGTTATAGCAATTCTTTTGTCTTTTAGTCTGGCAACGGCACAGCAATGTTTTACACGTGTTTAACACAATTACTAAATTTCATGGTATAATATATCCATTTGGCAGTCCTTAACGTGCTTGTATCACTATTATCATTATCTTCATAGATCTTTCGATAAACTAGAAAAAATTATTCATGATATAGTTGGTTCTTCATATTCCTATCCGAATCCTTTATTGTCTCATGAAATTTTATATACTCAAACTCGCGTTGTGTATGCTCGAAAATAAGTATAGACCTTGTAGACTAGTTTAAAGCCGTAATCGTAAAATCCAAGCACTGAAATTCTTAGCGGCCTTTTAAAGATTCCCATCAAAAACTGCATGATCTGCAAATAAATAATTATGTAATCAAGAATATGATTTTGGATGAGTGAACATTTATGTTCAAGATCATCGCTTACGTTTTCCTGCGTCTCGACGTCGAACGTAACGTTTGCCAATTTGTTGAGAAACGTCTCGGCTCGGTTTGCCTAATATTAACAGAATCCAAATGATAACAATGCGTCTTCTTCAATTAAAATTTTATCTTATTCATGGTAACTGTTCTAAATAATTTCCAAATTTTACCTTTGTGCAAACGTTCTCGCAGACATAAGTGAATACAATTACACCTAGGATGTATCTTGCGGCCCCAAACAACACCAAGAAGATGTTAACTAAGATATTATACGTAAAGGTTGTTTTTGTCGACAAGAGTAAGTCATATGTTTCAAGAGAAAAGTATATTGCAATGAAATGATACAAGGCTATCTGCATCACTATTTGCGGTCCAAAGATTCTACTTAATTCACACGATATCGAGCACAGTTCGAAGTGTATATGCCTGCAAAGTGTAAATAATAAATAATGATTTCGCATTATTGCGTGCACAGTTAGGTACTTGCTGATTTTTTTATTCTTAGATTTTCATTTTGTTATATTACGGTGCGTGTAACACAAGAATGTCCATCGTATGCGATACTTTTCAATTATCCTCACATTAAGAGGCATATGTGTTGGTTAAATTGTGAGGTATTGTTCAGATGTCGATGCATGAAAGAAGACGAAGTGCAAGTCCTCCAGGCGAGCCTCACTTGTAGTTTCTTCAGCTCTATTAACGTCTGAATACATTGATTAACGCGCTCGAATAGAGTTCCTATGTAT